GGATGGAGCAATGTTCTGCAGATTCCCAGGGAGGCCAATAATGAAAAATTCTGCAGAATACAGCAATATACTGTATATCTGTAAGGAGGGAGTCGGGATGGAGCAATGTACTGCAGATTCCCAGGGAGGCCATAATGAAATAATCTGCAGAATACAGCAATATACTGTATATCTGTAAGGAGGGAGATGGGATGGAACAATGTTCTGCAGATTCCCAGGGAGGTTAATAATGAAATAATCTGCAGAATACAGCTATATACTGTATATCTGTAAGGAGGGCGATGGGATGGAGCAATGTTCTGCAGATTCCCAGGGAGGCCAATAATGAAATAATCTGCAGAATACAGCAATATACTGTATATCTGTAAGGAGGGAGTCGGGATGGAGCAATGTTCTGCAGATTCCGAGGGAGGCCAATAATGAAATAATCTGCAGAATACAGACATACTGTATATCTGTAAGGAGGGAGATGGGATGGAGCAATGTTCTGCAGATTCCCAGGGAGGTCAATAATGAAATAATCTGCAGAATACTGCTATATACTGTATATCTGTAAGGAGGGAGACGGGATGGAGCAATGTTCTGCAGATTGCCAGGGAGGCCATTAATGAAATAGTCTGCAGAATATAGCAGAATACATCTACGAGGAGAGAGATGAGACAGAGCAATGTTCTGCAGATTCCCATAGAGGCCAATAATTAAATAATCTGCAGAATACAGCAATACACTGTACATCTGTGAGGGGGGAGATGGGATGGAACAATGTTCTGCAGATTTCCAAGGAGGCCAGTAATGAAGTAGTCTGCAGAAAACTGTATATCTGTGAGGGGGGAGATGGGATGAAGCAATGTTCTGCAGGTCTCCAGAGAGGTCAATAATGACGTAATCATCAGAATACAGCAATAAAATGTATATCTGTAAGGAGGGAGATGGGATGGAGCAATGTTCTGCAATTCCCAGGGAGGCCAATAATAAAATAATCTGCAGAATACAGTAATATATATCTGTGAGGAGGGAGGCATGATGGAGCAATGTTCTGTGATTCCCAGGGAGGCCAATAATGAAATAATCTGCAGAATACAGCAATATACTGTATATCTGTAAGGAGGGAGATGGGATGGAGCAATGTTCTGCAGATTCCCAGGGAGGCCAATAATGAAGTAATCTGCAGAATACAGCAATATACTGTATATCTGTAAGGAGGGAGTCGGGATGGAGCAATGTTCTGCAGATTCCCAGGGAGGTCAATAATGGAATAATCTGCAGAATACAGCTATATACTGTATATCTGTAAGGTGGGGAGTCGGGATGGAGCAATGTTCTGCAGATTCCCAGGGAGGTCAATAATGAAATAATCTGCAGAATACAGCTATATACTGTATATCTGTAAGGAGGGAGTCGGGATGGAGCAATGTTCTGCAGGTTCCCAGGAAGCCAATAATGAAAATGAACGGCAGGCACAGCACAATGCATCTGTGAGGAGGAGATGGGACAAGAGCAATGCTCTGCAGATCTCCAGAGAAGCCAGTAATGGAATAATCTCCTATTTTAACAGTATGAAATAGCTTTTATGCATAAGAGATCATAAACTTCTTAAAATTTAGACAGAAGAAATTTACGATCGTTTTTGGCTAACGGCGAGCTGCGCCCCGCACAATCGCTTTTTGACAAGCATGGCAGCGATAAACATTTCTACACAGGATTTTTAAGCGTTTCACGCAGAAGAAAAAAAAAAATGTAAAAAAAGAATGGATAAATAAAAATCTCTCTTCAATGGCTTAGCGCAGAATGGATTTCGATCCCTGCGAGCTAAAAAATCCCGGCACTCGCTAAGTGTTGAAACAGACCCGCGTAAAAGGCACCGACTGTAAGGCCGCCCGCAGCGTGGCACTGCTCTCATGAAAACTAATGGAAGGCCATAATAAAAATAGCGGCAGGGTAGCCAGCTCGCAATGATCACTTACACATTCATTTTCTCTGCCTGCTGAGCTATTAACATAATCCATGAAAAGCTTCGGCTGCAGCATTAATCCCACTTTCTATATTAAACGATGCTCGCTACCTTGAAAATGGAGGATTTGGGACTTTGCAGCATCATTGGCCCTTTTTTCTTCTTGTTGGAGACATTTCACCAGCCACAATGAGAATGGCCACCTTTACTCATCAGATTACACTGTTATTGTGAATTTATCTTTTTGTGTGAATTACGGGTTCGCAACCTATCACGCTCATCTCATTGCACCTTCACACCAACATCCCCTACGTCTTAAAGCTGAACTCCAGGCAGGGGCGTCCCTAGGCAGGTGTGGGGGGTGCACGCCGCACCCGCACCGGGTGACACTATTTCACATCGGGTGACACCGGGACCCACTACACGAAAAGGTAAGTTTTAAAGCAAGCCAATGATCCCGGTTGGATGGATGGATCTGAGCGCGATTGAGCATAATGGATCGGAGTCCGATCCATTATGCTTCCCAATCCGCAGATCCGATTCATCCTGCGGGGATCATCGGCTTGCAAACCTATACGGGGTTAACTGATCTCTCCAGGAAAAGGTAAGTTTTAAAGCAAGGTGACGGTCGGCTTGCTTTGAAACTTACCTTTTCATGGAGCATGGAGAGATCAGTTACCCCGTATAGGTTGCAAGCCGATGATCCCTGCAGAATGGATCGGATCTGCAGATTGGGGAGGATAATGGATCGGATTCTGATCCATTATGCTCAATCCGCAGATCAGATCCATCCTGCAGGGATCGTCGGAGAGGGGTGTGTCACCAAGAAGGGGCGGACTGACCATTTGGAAACTCGGGCACTGCCGAGAGCCCAGGGTCAGTAGGGGGCCCCATGAGATGCCCCTGGTACCTTTTTTCATAGGCTTTTTTGAGTTTGGGCAAGGACACAGGGGCCCCATGATCCCCTATTGCCCGGGAGCCCCATGAGTTGTCAGTCCCCCCTGGCACCAAGTGTTACTGCACCAGGAGACACCAACCCTAGGGACACCCCTGACTCCAGGCCAGGAAGGGACTGACCATTTGGAAACTCTGGCACTGCCCGAGGGCCCGGGGTCAGTAGGGGGCCCCATGAGATGCCCTTGGTACCTTTTTCATAGGCTTTTTTGAGTTTGGGCAAGGACACAGGGCCCCATGATCCCCTATTGCCCAGGGGTCCCCCATGAGTTGTCAGTCCGCCCCTTCTTTAGGAACATGATTTTTAATTTAAATATTTCTTCTATAGCCGCAAAAGGGATATACATATACTGTGTGTGCACCAAATGTCTTCCCAAAGCCAGATATTACCTTGTAAAAGTAGCAGTGAGATCATCCCTGTGGCACACATAGCTTGTGCAGAGAGCAGAGCTGTGGGAGGTGCCCAGAAGGCCCCATCATCCACTACAGGCTGTGGCTGGAAGCTACAGGAGGGGCGGAGACAAGACCAGCACCCTGCACACGAAGAGAGAGCAGCAGTGACCGGTCTTTATTACAGGAAGCTCCGGCACAGAGGGAAGGTTTCACACTGGATTACTGCACAGATCTGAAGAAAGAAGAACTGAAAGAACACCAAGATGAATAAGTAATAATAATAAGATGAATAAGTAATAAAAATTAGTAATAAATAAATGTAAAATAAATACAGAAATAAATACTTGTAATAATAAATTAATAATAATAAACCCATAACCTTAGCCCCCTAAAACCTAAAAAAGTAATAAAATAATAATACCAATAATGTATTATTATTAATAATAATAATTATTATTATCATTATTATTATTTTTTATTATTATTAATAATCATTTCATTTTTTTAAGGTTAGGGGTTAATTATTATTTATTTATCATGATTTTTTATTTATATGTGTATTTATTTGATTTATGTTACTTTTTTTTATTATTTATTATGACTTTTTTTATTTTTTAATTTGAGCAGAAAATCAAGCAAAACACGCATTAAAATGCGCAAAAAACGCCACTTGCGCGTTTCTATCCCTTTCCATGGGAATAAAAAAAACGTCAAAACGTGCAAATCTGCCCAATTTAAGCTACAAAAGTAGCTCCAAAACTTTTTGAGCTTAAGGTGTTTTGCTTCAGGCGACCTGGAGTGGAGATGTGAACCATCTCCATAGAGAGTATTTATATATTGATTTTTTTCCCCCTGAGCATTTTGGAGCTTCAAGCTTCATGCTACAAAATGCTCAGGTGTGAATGGAGTCTTACAGTTTTATTTGTAAAACAATTGTGCACAAATGTCAGAAACATTTGTGCAAGCTGAACTAAATTTCACTGTATGGTTTCAAATAGATTAACTCCTGTATCATCAGCTCCTTCTAGTGGACAAAATACAATAAACATTTCTGAAATACCTCAATGAGAAAATATACCACCTTTTGGCGACTAGATGGAGCAGATAATACAGGAGTTAAAGTGTTACTAAACCCCGGACCCTGCATTCACATATCTGGTCTCTCTGGACCCTGCATTCACATATCCGGTCTCTCTGGACCCTGCATTCACATATCCGGTCTCCCCAGACCCTGCATTCACATATCCGGTCTCTCTGGACCCTGCATTCACTATATCTGGTCTCCCCGGACCCTGCATTCACATATCCGGTCTCCCCGGACCCTGCATTCACATATTTCACATAATCCTGTCCGGTCTCTCTGGACCCTGCATTCACTATATCTGGTCTCCCCCCGGACTTTGCATTCAGATATCCGGTCTCTCTGGACCCTGCATTCACTATATCTGGTCTCCCCGGAGCCAGCATTCACTATATCTGGTCTCCCCGGACCCTGCATTCCCTATATCTGGTCTCCCCAGACCCTGCATTCACTATATCTGGTCTCCCCTCCCCGGGACCCTGCATTCACTATATCTGGTCTCCTCAGACCCTGCATTCCCTATATCTGGTCTCCCTGGACCCTGCATTCACTATATCTGGTCTCCCCGGACCCTGCATTCACTATATCTGGTCTCCCGGACCCTGCATTCACTATGTCTGGTCTCCCCGGACCCTGCATTCACTATATCTGGTCTCCTCAGACCCTGCATTCACTATATCTGGTCTCCCCGGACTCTGCATTCACTATATCTGGTCTCCCCGGACCCTGCATTCATATATCTGGTCTCCCAGGACCCTGCATTCACTATATCTAGTCTCTCCCTGGATCCTGCATTCACTATATCTGGTCTCTCCCCGGACCCTGCATTCATATATCTGGTCTCCCAGGACCCTGCATTCACTATATCTAGTCTCCCTGGATCCTGCACTCACTATATCTGGTCTCCCCGGACCCTGCATTCACTATATCTGGTCTCCCCGGACCCTGCATTCACTATATCTGGTCTCCCCGGACCCTGCATTCACTATATCTGGTCTCCCCGGACCCTGCATTCACTATATCTGGTCTCCCAGGACCCTGCATTCACTATATCTGGTCTCCCCACACTACACACAACATGGAAATGCAATTATTTTAGTAAATATAAACTGCTAAATACCTTTTCTCATCAGCAGTACATAGCAGTCTTGTGACTTCTATCATTGTCCAGCAGAGCACTGGTTAATCTTCTAGGAGGAATTTCTTTACTCCTCTGACTGTCCTAGGAGGCTGCATGACCCCCCCTGATCCTCTGTCTGGACAGTGCTGATTGGCCCTATGCCGATCACATGCATCCATTAAAAAAAAAAAAAAAAAACTTTCTAGCAATACACACTAAACAGAGCATGTGTAGACTTGCCACTGCTGCTCTGTACTATGGAAGATGGATTGAGGAGAGTAAAAGAAGGGGAGGATGAGAGAAGACAGGATCAAACAGTCTTTTTTTGCAATGAGGAGGACTAGCCTCTTAGGTTCCACAGTGAGTATAACAAACATGCTTTACTGCAGGGGTATTGAATTAATATCCATAGAGGTCAGGTCAGTAAATATTTCTTCCAGTAGGGGTCCGGATATCTGTGCTATAACTCAGCCCCCCTTTATATCACAGCCCCCCTCTTCCCGTCACAGTCCTTTCACTTACATCACAGAACAATCTTTTACATCACAGCCCCCTTTATACTACAGTCCCTTCTTTACATCACAGCTCCTCTACATCACAGCCTCCCTTTGCATCAGTCCCCCCCTTTAGATCACAGTCCCCCATCTTTACATCACAGTCCCCCCTCCTTTGGATCAGTCTCCCCCCTTTAGATCACAGTCCCCCATCTTTATATCACTGCCCCACCCTTTGTATCAGTCTCCCCCCTTTAGATAACAGTCCCCCATCTTTACATCACAGTCCCCCCCTTTGTATCAGTCTCCCCCCCTTTAGATCACAGTCCCCCATCTTTACATCACAGTCCCCACCTTTGTATCAGTCCCCCTCCTTTAGATCACAGTCCCCCATCTTTACATCACAGTCCCCCCCTTTGTATCAGTCCCCCTCCTTTAGATCACAGTCCCACATCTTTACATCACAGTCCCCCCTTTGTATCAGTCTCCCCCCTTTAGATCACAGTCCCCCCCTTTGTATCAGTCTCCCCCCTGTAGATCACAGTCCCACATCTTTACATCACAGTCCCCCCTTTGTATCAGTCCCCCCTTTAGATCACAGTCCCCCCTTTGTATCAGCCCCCCCCTTTAGATCACAGTCCCCCCTTTTGTATCATTCTCCCCCCTTTAGACCATAGTCGCTCATCTTTACATCACAGTCCCCCCCTTTGTATCAGTCTCCCCCCTTTAGATTACAGTTCTCTATCTTTACATCAATGTCCCCTCCTTGGTATCACAGTCCCCAATCTTTACATCACAGTCCACTCCTTTGAATCACAGCCCCCCATTGTTATATCACAGTCCTCCATCAATACATCACAGTTTCCCCCTTTACATCATAGTACCCATATTTACTTAGCAGCCCCCCCCCCCCCCTTACATTGCAGTTCCCCATTTACATCACAGGTGGCCCTTTAAATTACAGCCCCCTTGACATAAAAGTCCCCACATTTTACAATACAGTCCCCCTTTATATTAAAGAACCTCTTTTTCATCACAGGCCCCCCCTTTACTTTGCTTACCCCCTTCACATCACAGCACACCCCTTCAAATCAAAGCCCCCCCTTTAAATAACAGCACCCCTTTACATCAAGGTCCCCCCCTTTACAGTACAGCCACCCTTTTATTATAGCACCCCCCCTTTACATTGCAGTACCCCAGAAGAACATCTCATTGCCCCCTTTCCATAGCATTCCACTCTTTACATAGCCTGCGTTAACAATACAGCCCCTCCACCGTTACATCATCCCTCTCCCCCCCCCCCCTTCCAGTCCAGAGGGCAGGGGGAGCGTACGATCTGGATGAAGGGTTGGAGCTTCCCAATTCTCCTGTTAACAAGAGGGTGATTGGTTGTTAGGACCGCCCCATATCAAGGGAGGATTGACCATTTGGAAACTCAGGCACTGCCCGAGGGCCTGGGCTCAGTAGGGGGCCCCATGAGATGCCCCTGGTACCTTTTTCATAGGCTTTTTTGAGTTTGGGCAAGGACACAGGGGCCCCATGATCCCCTATCGCCCGGGGGCCCCATGAGTTGTCAGTCCGCCCCTGCCCCATATCATAGCAACCAATTGGCCGCTTATTAAGCTGAAAAGCAGGGCAGCTTCCGCCCTCCATCTGGACCCTCTGCCCTGCTGTGAAGATGACAGCAGCAGCGGGGGGAAGAGAAGACACACTGGCAGCTAAATGGTGTGCCAGTGACGGTATGGACAGAATTGTGACTAGGTCCGGGTCCGGACCGCAGTCCACCATTTATTGATGCCTGCTTTACTGCATATACAGACTGATTTTATTGTTGTGGATTTAGTAACACTTTAATCTATTTAAAAACATATAATTACATTTCTTCCAGTTTGCACAAACTTGTCTGACATTCATGCAGCAAATGTTTTATAAATAGACTCCTAACTGTGTTCTCTTTATTGTGTCTCATAAATAGTTGTGATTTGTTAAAATAGACAAATATTGTTTTCACCTATTTGTTGCATTTCAATGCTGCTGATCTCCTGCAGCCCCTATACGGCCACTTCCTATCAACATTCACTTCAGTAATTGCATTTTTCAGGGTGGGTTATCTGGTTACCTCAGTGGATCACGCCTGTGTAATGTGTTTTGAAACAGCCACTTGTATTCTCCACCGGAAGCCTGTGTGACAGGGTGGCCACACGGAGAGCAGCGGGGAGACAGGGATAGAGTGTTGTCACGCTATAACAGGATGTTCTAGAACAAGGTTGCTGCAGATTCAATAGTGATTGGGTATGCATGTACTTTAAAGCCCAACTTAGTGCTCTGTGCTTTCCATGCAATTTTCCCTCCCTCCCCTCTTGTGGCCCTTGCTATAAATATGTTATGACTTTTATGTTTTACTACTTAACCTTTTCTGAAGTCTTCAGGCTGGAGATGACGCAGAATCCTCTTTCTCATCATCTCCTCTCTTGGTTTGGAGGCCCTTGCTGATGGAGAGATCTTGCTAATGCACCATTACACAGTGAGCAAGGTGAACCATGGTGACGTCCAGTGCCAGGACAAGGTCATCTGGAGTCCACGAAAAACATGCCAAACTGCATCAACCTCCCCCCCCCCAAAAAAAGGGTATGAAGAAGTACTGTATGAGCATTGTGTGTCAGCAAAAACCCCTCCAAAGAAAAATGAGTGCTAGTCTGCATGCTTATCCCCTATGCATAAATCCCCCCTCCCAGTACAAATGCCCCTCCCCACTGAAATCGCCCTCCCACCACAATACTTTGCCCCCCCATTTCCGCTCCTACCATGCTACCTCTTCTTGCACAGACTCCCCCCTGCTCCTAGCTCAAATCCTCTTCCCCATCCCCCCAACATAAAAACAAAAATCCCCCCAAATCACCACTCCTAGCACACCCCTCCAAATTATCCCTCCTAGAACAATTCTTACTCCCTGCCACCCCTCAACTTCCCCCTCCCAACACAAATTCCTCCCCCCTGTAGAATATTATGTGCAATATATATATATATATATATATATATATATATATATATACCTCACATACCACAGTACCCAGGGCAGCCGCTCTTCCGCTTGTCCCGGCCCTGGTGACATCCCCTTAGAGGGTGTGGCCATGACACCCTGCACTCCCAGTCTTTCCTTAGTCTTTTGTTGATGTCTTTTAACCAGGAAGATTGAGGACATCTTGTGGCAAAGAAGTAGTATTGCAACTCTACATTAAAGGTGAAGGTAAAGGTGGCATTGCTAAGAGAGCTGTATTTTTTTTATAACACTGCCCAGGAGTTCTTTTTTAAGAAGTAAAGATTCACCCCAAAATTGGGATTTAAGGAGCACCTGTATCACACCCTATGCAATCCTGGACTCTATTTGGAAGCACAAAACTGGAAAAACAAGGTCTATTTATGATCAGATAGTTGTATTTGTTTCATGATGTAGATCTGATGTTGACTGTCATGGTGAGGACAAACATGAATCCATTACTTCAAGCACTCTGTATATATATATAGACTGCTGGGACTTGTGCTGTGACATCATTGAACATTAGAGATAGGTCATTGGCATCCAAAAAAAATGTCATCACATGCTAAGCTAACTTACTAAAAAAAAAAAAACAAAAAAACCAAGAACAATGTGTCTCTTTCAGCTTTTCCCCTGCCCCTCCTATGAAGTACAAGTTTCAGTAATTTTGTAATTTTCTTTCCACGCACAAAATATTTTTGAGCGCATAGAAAGAGCCAATAAGAAGGGACGAAATGGCAGCCGAGTTATTTAAACACGACGCATCTCATGCCAGACACACAGGGATTAAACAACACTAAATGTTTTAATGGGATTCTTCGCTAGTTTTGGCAAAGAAAAGGCAGATTTACACCTCAACAACATCTGCCTGTCTTGTCCTGCAACTGCTTAGATCCATTTACTGCACCTCTTGAAACCGATCTCATCCATACACAGCAGATGCTACCGGTTAAGCCATCTGGAAGAGGTCGCTTCCCCCCTAACGCTGCAGGAATCCCACCATCGTAATCAGAAACAAGCAATTAATCTGTTGTGGTGACGTGTCAAAAGGTGTCGTCATTCTCAAATGACGAAATTTAATAAAAAAAAAAATATATATATATATATACTTTTTTTTTTTTTTTTTTTTTTAAGAATTGATCACAGCCTCTGCTTCACATTTCTTATCAAAATGTTTTTTTGGGAGCCTGAAAATATATTCTGATAGAGTGTACGTCTCCTGAAATATAGTTGAGCTGACTTGGCCTTCCAGGCAGATATAAAATTCACATGCACATTAATTCAGATCTGTATTCCTATTAATACATAATGGAATGTATTATTTTAACGTGTTACTAACCCACAACAGTAAAATCAGTCTGTATCTGCAGTAAAGCATGCTTATTATACTCACTGTGGAACCTAAGAGGTTAATCCTCCTGTGAAAAGG